ATTAGCTGATCTTTTTGCTTAAACTGGTTTTTCTTCCCATGAGTTACAACACTATAAAACAGTTCTTCAAAATATTTAGATTATATCCCTTGCTCTCTTAGTTTAGTTCTACCTTGCTTTAACTGGTGTGTATAGGGCTGAATCACGAAATTCTAACTTGCTGTTACTGTGTATATATGCTTCTGTTTTATAAAAGAGATCCTTTGTTCATAGTGAAATGTGTATACTACCTCTTCTGTACTCACATAATGCAACTTTCTGGTGAGCCATTTTTCTGTTTTAGAAAAGGTAGCATTTTAATCTCCATTTAACAAGTGAAAAAGTGGAGGCTTAAATTTTATCGAGTAGATCACCATAAGCCGCTTCACGTCTTTCAAATAATGCAAAATGAGGTAAAGTAATATAAATATAACTGGAAAGAAGTGAAGTTACTGTTGGTGATAAGGTGCTGAGGCTGAAGTGTTAGATGCTCGAGAAGCAGTTTATAAGGCACTGAAATAATGAAAAAGAGTATTTAAGAAGCTATTTGCAAGAAGGTGGCAGACATAGAGAATAAAATCCCTTATAAAGTAGTAAAGCCACACTTTTTTTTAAAATCTACTTATTTTTGGTGGAAATTCAACTTTACAGAGAGACGGAGAAGCAGACCGTCCATTGGTTCACTCCCAAAGTGGCTGCAACAGCCAGAGCTAAGCCGATCCGAAGCCAGGAGCTTCTCTCATGCAGGTGCAGGATCTCAAGGCTTTGTCCCATCTTCGACTGCTTTCCCAGGCCACAGCAGGGAGCTGGATGGGAAGTGGAGCAGGTGGAAAATAAACTGGTGCCCATATAGGACCCCAGCATATGCAAGGCGAGGACTTTAGCCACTAGGCTCTGGCACCAAGCTTCAATTTTGACTTGCAAGTTCCTAGCTTTAGTCCCTGTGAAGTTTTTACTGACCATCCTTAAGGAACCTTGAAATTGCTTACCCCTTGCCTGTGATATTTCTAAAGAAAATTTCCTTTTTACTTAATTGCCTTTTCTGTCACCAAATGATTAAAGCCATGAAGATTCAGAATGTAGATAAAGAGCAGGATTTTGAAAACATAAGTTCTCAACATGTTGAATTTGAGGTTGGAACATCCAAAGGGCATTTGACTATGTGAAGTTTGTGGCTTACAGATGCTAAACCTAGGACATATAGATCACATTGAAATTGAGATTTTCCATCAGACAAGAAAAGAGTCAAAGACTTTAGGATGAATAATGAATACCAGGATATCAGAGGCTGGCTGACAATGAAGGATCCAATACCAAAGGGCCAAATGAGAGCAGGTGGAGTTGGAAAGAGCAAGAGAAATGATGTTAGCAAAGTCAATGTAGGAAAGTGTGGAGAAAAGAAAATTAGTATGAAATGCTCTGGGAAAACCAACTATCCCAAAGATTGAGCATCCTCTGGATTTTGCAATAATATCAGCAATGATCTGAAATATTGCCATGGTTTCTAAGGAGATAAGAATTAGAAGTTTTACTTCAGTAGATCAAAGAAGAATGCAAAGTAAGAAAATGAAAAATTTACCAATGGATTCAAAAGAACTACCAGAAATATAGTGGAAATCTATCACAGTGATGACGGAGTCGAAGAGCTACATGACTGAGAGCTAAATTCAGCCTTAGTGATAGTCAAAGAAACTTAACTTAGTAGTTAAGATGTAACTCAGTAGTTACATCATGGCACAGTCAGTAGGTAACAGATGCAACAAACAGCATCCAGTTCTCTGCTTCTATTCCTGCCACAATAGGTAGGCAGATTCTTAACCCAAAAGAACAGACATTTGAAGTGGTCCTTTGACATTGGAGTTTATTTTCTCAGATCTAGAAGGGAATAAGTTACAGTTCTGCTAGAGTATATCCCCTTGCATAACAGACACAAAATGCCAAATTGAAGAATGTTGCAAATGTGAGAAACTAGATGTATATATTTGTAACCATGTCAAGGGAAAATTTTATTATCCTATAGCATTGTTTGATTATATAAAATTGAAGTACAAAGTGCTTAGTCTTAAAATAGTATTCATGATTATGGTGCTGTCTCTTATCCTCATAAATGAGAGTAAAATTATCACAACATGTGTTTTTGAGGGTCATACCAAAAGCTGCTTTTTGTTGTAAGAGCACCACCTATGGGTTTCTTATATATTTGTACAATTTTTCTTAAAACCTAGTAAAACAAAAACCTAATAAAATTCTCTATTTTTCCCCTGCAGTTAGACTACTCATTTATGTAAAGGTCAGCAGTTTTCTTTGTCATAAATTACCTCCATCTAGGTTTTTGCTAAATTTAAATCAGCTTTAAAGTAATGCAGTACTTGCATGTTAATTGGTGTTACAAGTGTAAGTTAAAATTTTTGTAAGATATAACTTTGAATTTTCTTAGCATTTCGTTTATTTTCTGTTTCAGTGAACTTTTTTTCTTTTAAGATTTATTTTTATTGAAAAACAGATTTATAGACAGAAGACACAGAGAAAGCTCTTCCACCTGCAGATTCACTCTCGAAGTTGCTGCCACATTTGAATCTGAGCTAGGAGTTTCTTCTGGGTCTCCCAAATTGGTACAGGGATCCAAGGCTTTGGGTCATCCTCCACTGCTTTCCCAGGCCACAAGCAGGGAGCTGAGTGGAAGTGGAGCAGCCAAGGCACGAATTGGCACCTATATGGGATCCTGGCACATGCAAAGCAAGGATTAAGCCATGGATCCATCTTGCCAAGCTCTCTTTTTCTTTGTTTATTTCTTTCTTCCTTCTTTTCTTTTCTTTCCTTTGTTTTGTCTTTCTTTCTTTCTTTCTTTCTTTCTTTCTTTCTTTCTTTCTTTCTTTCTTTCTTTCTTTCTTTCTTTCACAAAATGTAGCATTAATTAATTTGAAAAGACAGAGAGAGATATTTTGATATTTGCTGCTGGTTCACTATGCAAATGATTGCATTATCTGGAGCTGGTCCAGCCTGAAGCCAGGAGACAGGAACTCCATCCAGGCCTCCCACCTGGAGGAATTCCAGGTGGCAGGAATTTAAGTACCCAAGCCATGAACTGCTGCTTCCCAGGCACATTAGCAGGGATCTGGATTGGAAGTGGTGTAGCCAGGATTGGAACCAGGTAGTCTTAAGGGGATGCCAGTGTGGCAAGTGGTGGTGTAATGTGCTGTACCACAATATTGACCTGAAAGTTAGAAGTGATTTTACTCAAAATTACATTATTCCCTTTAAGCCAGGTGAATGTTCTTTGGGGGAAAAAAATTATTTTCCTTGGAAAGGCAGATTTAGAGAGAGAAGAGAAAGATCTTCCATCTGCTGGTTCATTCCCCAAGCAACCACAATGACTGGAGCTGAGGCAATCCCGAGCCAGGAACTAGAAGGTTCCTCTGGGTCTCCCACATTAGTGCAGGATCCCAAGGCTTTGGGCCATTCTCGAGTGCTTTCCCAGGCCACAGCAGGGAGCTGGATGGGAAGTGGGGCAGCCAGGACATCAGCTGGCACCCACATGGGAACCTGGCATGTGTAAGGCAAGATTTAACCACTAAGCCATCATGCCTGGCCCAAGGCTGAAGTCTCTTAATGAAAATGAACAGTTATCCATATTGGGATGATTAAATAATGGTAGCTTAGTGGAATAAAGTGAAACTATAGCATTTTATTATTAATGAGCCCTTACAGTAGAATTATGCTTGGTGGGGGGAGGTTTGTTAACACCATATCATATTAGGCTAAGCCTCTGCCTACAGTGCCCTCATCCCATGTGTGTGCTGAGTTCAAATCCCAGTTGTTCCATTTGTTTCTGGGAAGGCAGTAGAAGATGTTCCAGGCCCTTAGGTCCCTGCACCCGTGTGGAAGCGCCGGAAGAATCTTCTTTCTCTTGGCTTTGGGTTGGCTTAGCCACTTGGGAAGTGAACCAGTGATGGAAGACCTTTCTTTATGTCTTTCTCTCTGTGGCTCTGCATTTCAAATGAAAATGTAAGACTTAAAAAAAAAAGATTTATGTTTGGATAAATTTAGTCTTTTTCTAAAGTACTGCTCATTAAAATCAAAAGGGTTTTGTGAAAGAAATTTACCCTTATTGGGATTTCATGAAGCAACATCCAGAGGGGAAGATAAACTGTAAATTCTGTGCATGCCTGAGCAGTGAGATGGGTATACAACCCTGTGTCGATGGTAATTGTAAATTTTGTGAAAACACAGGAATCATCTTGGTTTGTGAATTGTCCAAACGAGCCCTCTAGTAGTGCACTCTCATTCCGAGGTAGATTTTTTGTAGACATTCGTGTTTGTTCTTTACTAGTATAAGCTTCTAAAGCCTTGGTTGTGTGTTTCCTTCATAGGATGTTCTGTGCATAAATAAAGATTGAGTTTAAGTAGTATAACTTGCTTTATGTTGGTCTTTATGGATGGAGTTTAAGTTACATAATATTTCCTAGCTTTTTTATGCCATGGTACATTTTGGTATCTAAATTGAAAAGACTACTTGCTGTCTTTATCCAATCATCTACTAACTTCTTATAGTTATAATCCAACTGTGTCTATTTGAAATATCCTAAAAGCAACATGGTTCCCCTAAAAGATCTAAACATAGTAATTGAGTAAATTCTGACCTTTTAGACAGCTTATAATAAGGAACTAAATTCAGAAGAGGGGTTTTGACTAACAAAAAAATAGGTAAATATTGGATGGGTGGGTGGGTAGGTGGCTCCATGGATCAATATCCATGGCTAAATGAGTAATTCTGACTTGAACTATTAGGCATTGATTTAATTTGAAAACTTTCTTTTCTGCCTGAAACATTAACTTAGTTGTCTATAGTGAAAGAAATTAAAATACTCATTAGAGTAATAGAAGCATCTAAAGTTGATAATGCCACATCTTATTGTATACATTATTTGATGTCTGAAGTTTTTGTTTTATAAACATCAATTTACTTAATGCTGTGTTTTAAAGTGTAATAATTAGCTAAAATTGCTTTGGCTATCTTCCAGCTTGTGGAGAGACTCCAGAACAAATTCGAGCACCAAGTGGTATAATCACAAGCCCAGGCTGGCCTTCTGAATATCCTTCCAAAATCAACTGTAGCTGGTTCATAAGAGCAAACCCAGGGGAAATCATTACTATAAGGTAATTCTGATATTTTTCTGTATTACTATCAAATATCTTACTACAAAATAGATTCAGTTTTTCAATAATCATTACTTAGCATGCAGTCTTTTGAAAAGCCATTTCGGAGGATAAATAAATTATAAATATTGGTGTTATCTTAGGTATTAAGAGTAATGGTCTGTCAGATAAGTGTTTTGAAAACTGAAATGGGCACAAGGCAGTTATCAATGAATTGTCAGTATTCTAAGTTTCTTTTTACAAAAGGATGCACATTTGAAACCCTAAAAAGGGAGGAAAAGTATAAATATGTTTACAAAACATACTTCTGCTAATGCTGGAATTTTTCCAAATGAAATATAATTTATAAGATATTTAGCTTTTAGCCTAAAAAAATCAACTTAGCTTACCAACTCAATTATATAAGAATTAGAAAATCTTGACTACACGGAAGAGATTATATGAAATACTACTGTATGGTTTTGATCATGTGTTGGATCCGTGAGATTTCACAAAGTAAGATAGCACTAATAGTCAAGTAAAGTCCTGATATTCAGAACAAAATTCCAGGTGAACCCTATTTCTTTTTTCTTTTTAAAGATTTATTTATTTTTAATCACAAAGTCCGATATACAGAGGGGAGGAGAGACAGAGAGGAAGATCTTCCATCCGATGATTCACTCCCCAAGTGACCACAACGGCCATTGCTGCACTGATCTGAAGCCAGGAGCCAGGAACTTCTTTCTGGGTCTCCCACATAGGTGCAGGGTCCGAATGTCTTGGACCGTCCTCAACTGCTTTCCCAGGCTACGAGCAGGGAGCTGGATGGGAAGTGGAGCTGGTGGGATTAGAACCAGTGCCCATATGGGATCTGGGTGCATTCAAGGCGAGGACCTTAACCATTACACTATCATGCTGGGCCCCACGAGCCCTCATTCTAAAACATCTCCTAAATTCTGGAAGCAGTCAGTGTCTTTAGATTTGTGCAAATCAGAGGTATAGGGGCTGGGAGCTAGCAAGTCAAAAGGAAAAGTATATTACTATCTGGAACAAATATATGCTTTAAAACATTTTGGTCAAAAGAAAATCAACATGTGTTCTTGAATTTAAAATAATTAGAAGTCTTACAAAATGAAATTAGTAACATGGTTTTAAAAATCTGCATGGAAGAAGGAAACGGAAATTAAGGAGTATACCAAAGAACTTCAGAAAGTTTGTGGAAGATGCATTGTTAACTTAAAAAAAAAAAAGATATGTATCTTTGAAATAGTTGGGGACAGGTGGATAAAACTCTTCTGTTGATTGGTTTATTTTCCTCAATGGCCACAGCAGCCAAAGAAGGACCACACTGAAGTGGGGAGCCAGCAGCTTCTTTCAGGTCTCCCATGTGGATGTAGGAGACTTGAGCCATCATTTGCTGCTTTTCATTTTTACCTCATTTTTCTACCTTGAGACCTACCAAAGGCCATCTTATCTGTTGGAAGCAGAAGATTGGATCTTAGCATAGGTTTCCGGCCATGGGTTACAATAAGACTGTTTTGTTCTAGGAAACTGAAAAAATGGCTCCTAAACCCTGCCTGAGCTTCAGTGGAAGAACTTTAGACTGAAGACCCAGATGAGAAGCAGGAGTTGAGATTAAAAACTGAAACCAAAAAACCTACAAAGTAACCTGCAAGCCAGAATATATAGGGACATTAATACTAAGAAAAACAGGGAACAAATTTGGAACACAAATTTAACAGACTTTGATGTAAGATTTATTATGTTAGGAGTTCGCTTCATTTTGTTTTTATTTTTATTTTTTCAATGTCATGGATACCTGTGGTCTACTGAAACCTGAGGATTGTTTTCGCAAATAATGTTTCTGATATGTAGCATTACAACAACCTGTTAAAGTACAATCATTAAATATGTCAAAGTGTTTGTTATGTAGTAATGATGCACATCTGAGTGCCAGGTTCCTGTCCCAGCTCCTCTACCTGCAATTCAGCTTTCTGCTGAGACTCACCATTCATTAGAAGGTGACTCAAGCAGCTAGATCGCTGCCACCCATTGTCGGAGACCTGGATTGAGTTCTGGGCTCCTGGCTTCAGTCTGCCTCAGCTCTTAACTGTCAGCAAATTGAAGCTCTTCTGTTTTTATTGGCTTATTGCCTTTCAAATAAAATGAAAACTTAATAAAGATTTTCAGATACAATTTTTAAAGGAGATAGAAAAGAATCAGTGATGGAAATACTAGTCAAGAGAAAGCTAGTATACCTCAACATGTCATGTAACTTAAAGCTTACATATTGGTAGCAAATGGAATAATCCATCAGGAGGATATTACAGGACTGACTTTCGGGTAACATAGGCTAAAATACACATAAAACAGAGTGAGGAGAATTACCAAGAAAGCATGACCCATTCAAGTTATAGAGGGAGATTTAAACACAACTTTAATATGTGTTATCTATTTTAACAAAGTTAATATATACCTTTTCAAATTCATGGAAAGTTTATTTTCCAAACAATAATCATATATTCAATTCTGAACAAATTCTTAAAGCACATCCAAGACCCTGTGTCATACAGATTATATTTTCTTACCATTATGCAATTAAAGGGAAAAAAGTAACAAATCCAGTGTGTTTGGAAACATTTTGAAGTATCTCCTATATTAAAGAACCAGTATAAACAATATTTTTTCAATAACTGTCATGAAAGTATTAAATACTAAACTATTGGGACACTTCAGACTTATAACTTTGATGCATTGGTTAAAAAAAATCAGCAGTTTATGAAATAAGCCTAGTATTTTTCCCTCATTGATTTAGAAACAAAACAAAACTGGCTTTTTGAAAAACGAGAATAGACAAAACCTTAAGGCAAGACTGAAGAAGAAAAAGATATAAAGACAAGCAGAAGTATTTATAATTATAAATATAATAAAGATCATAGGGAAGGATGTGTGACACAACCATTAAGACGTAGCTTAGGATGCTTGTCATCCACAGCAGAGCGCCTACGTTTAGTCCTGACTTCACTTCTCATTCCAGCTTTTCTGATGATATGTTCCTGGGAGACAGAAGGTGTAGGCTCAAGTACTTAAATTCCTGCCACCTGCATGAGTGACACAGCTTAAGTACCAGGCTCTAGCTTTCTTTACTCTAGCCTGGTCTATACTTGTGTGGGTATGTGGGTAGTGAAGCAACAGATGGAAAATCATTCAGTCTGTCTCTCAGATATAAATTAATTAAATTAATGATATAAAAAAATTAGTAGGAAGGGCCTGGCGTGGTAGCCTAGCAGCTAAAGTCCTCACCTTACAGGATCCTGTATGGGCACTGCTTCTAATCCTGGTAGTCCTGCTTCCCACCCAGCTCCCTGCTTGTGGCCTGGGAAAGCAGTCGAGGACGGCCCAGAGCCTTGAGACCATGCACCACTCTGGGCTCCTGGCTTTGGATCACACAGCTCCCACCGTTATGGCCAGTTGGGTAGTGAATCATTGGATGGAAGATCTTCCTCTGTCTCTCCTCCTCTCTGTATATCTGACTTTCCAATTAAAATAAAATAAATTTTTTAAGGAAATGGAAAGGAAAAAGCTTCTTATTTCTTTTTCTCCCCTTCAAATATAAATATAGAAGTAAATAAAATTAGTGATATTAAAAACTAAGAAGGGACAGGGCTTTTCTAATCTTCTAGTAATGTGTTTGTTTACATAGAAAACAGGCTGATTTGAAGAGTACAGACCTGAAAAATCTGTCACGTTGCTATAATGAATTTTATTATGTTAAAATGAGTAATTTCTAAGGAACCTATTTATCAAACATTGACTCAAAATTTTGGGGAAAGCTGACTAAACCTAGAAACATGAAGACATTGACAGTCTGTGTCCTGAATCTGAAAATCTACGCAAGCAGGAGGCACAGGCATGTCAGTCATGCTTTTGTTATACAAGCTATTATGTTATATAAGCTATTATGTAAGCTATTAAAAACCACCTGCGGATCAGTCCACTTTAGTACAAATCCTAGATGAACTATTAGCAAACCCTATCTATTAAGGTATATATGAACAGATGGTTAATGATTTTATTTTTCTGTAAGGAGACTCTGCCTTCATGAGTTGTAAACCTTTTTAAAAAGTGTTTTAAGGAATTCCCTAGCATCATTCAGACTAACCTTCCTATCAGCATTTAACCAGTTATGCATAAAATACACAAAATCAGCTGTTTGGAAGGCACTGGAAAGTAACTGAAATGTAGGAGATGATGAATAAGGTAACATGTGAAAGAAAGAAGCGCACTGTGAAGTGAACTTCACCAGCTCCCTGATGATTCCCTGAGTCTGTGCAGTATGAAGTGACTAGAACCTAAGAAAACTGCCACCTTGTGTTGCTGGCTAGAGCTACCAAATAGTGGATTAGTGACTCTTGGGTGGATCAGAAAGACAAGTTCTGGAATAGAGACAAGCAAAAGCTGAAGCCCTTGTATATGAATAAAATCCTTTGGAAGTTTTTTCCTGCCTGTGAACTTTACATGCTTAAAGGTAACTCCAAGAAACCCAGTGAATAGCCTGTGCATGCATGGACAGCAGCTGCTGTGAACACGGCTGAGGCTGTTTTAAATCTGAATCTTTTCCTTAGGGGAGACAGTTTAGAGTTGGAACATGCTGACTTAGAAGAGGAACTTCATAAACACCTTGGGATTCGAAATAATACTCCAAGTGTCATGGCTACTGAGTAGAAATAAGGTCCCAGAGATTTATCCTAAGATCAAAGACAACACCGGAACCTACTCTACAAATCTCTACAAATTTGCACCACACCTATACAAATTTAGGATGATTAGATAATAATTTAATTTTGTGATAGAATAAAATTTGTTAAAGTTTTGTTGCATTCAATTCAAGATAAAGCCTGGGTATAAACCTGAAAGCTGAAGCTGAAATGTAAGGAAAAAATGGACACATGTTTAGGATCTTGGAGAGGGCAAAGATATTTTAAAGAGGACACTAAAAACACTAAGATTAAAACGGAAAAATAATGAATTTCATTGGAGCTCAGCTTAAAAACTTGACAAATAGAGGAATGTCAATTAAATTCACAGCTGATCTCTCAAAGGAAACTCCTCAGGTTAGAAGAGAATGGAGTGACATAATCCAGATGCTAAAAGAAAAAAATTGTCGTCCCAGGATAGCATACCCAGCAAAACTTTTCTTTGTCTTTGAAAATGAAATAAAATTCCTCCACAGTAAAGTTAAAAGAATGTGCCTCTTCCAAACCTGCCCTACAAATGATACTTAAAGATGTTCTCATGACAGAGAAGAGAAATAGTACCTACGAAAACCAAAGACAAATGGGAAGAAAATCCCAGTGAAATAACAACAGAAGACTAAATCAATGAACAAGCCATTGCTAAAATGACAGGACCAAATTACCACCTATTTATATTAGCCCTTAACGTAAATGGCTTAAATCCATCAATCAAGTATCAGATTAGTAGACTGGATTAAAAACACAAAACCCATCTCTTTGTTGCCTGTAGGAAATGCATCTCACCAACAAAGATCAGCAGAAACTATATCTCATGGATTCTGGTGGTTTTTAGTTTCATTTCTTCAAAACACATTTTGTTCTCATTAAATTCTTAACTGACTCATAGATCCTATGGTAGTATCATTTTCTTGAAGAAGGTTCTTAATTTTCATGTTTCAGCAACACATTATGTAGAGGAATTATGAATTAGTATAAACACTTTTTTGTCAGTGTCTGTCTGATTTAAGAAAAAGAAATTATGTATCTTTAGCCCTGTAATACTCTTTGTGGAAAAGTTTGTCCCAAAGTAGTACTGGCTCATGTTACTGGAGTTGCATGCTCGTGCATTCTTTCAAGCCCTGTTTATAATAAAGGAAAGTGAGGAGCTCTGCACGTCTGTGTTACAGTTCTCAGTGTGTTTAAAGAGGAAATACCTGATAGAATCAGCCCTAGAGGATAAGCTGATTTAGCTTAAGGCAGAGGGAAGAAGCTAAAATCATTTTTACCTTCTTGATGGTTCATTTTCAGACATTAGAAAATGATATTTTGGTTTCTCTTTCATTATCAGTAGCGACTTTGATATGTGCTCTTTTTTGTCTTTTACTCATTCTCTTATTTTATGAACTATACAATAATGTTTAACAATAAATATTTTATTTTAAAAAAAGATGTTCCCAATTCAGTAAAATGTTCATTGAATGGATTGAAATGAAAATGTTCTTTTGTTTATTAACTTTTAATTTTTTCACCTTGCTCGGATTGTGCTATTTGCTCTGCAGAAAATGTCAGTGATAAACTTTCCAGTAGCCAAGTTAATTAACTAGTAAGAGACGTCTTTATATTTCTGTTCATTAGGTTGTAGAATGGTGTTTTTGGTCAAACAAAGCAGTTTACATTGGTCTGAAATAAAAGTGGGTTTTCCTAACACACATGCACACAGAAGAAAAAAAGAAAAAGATGCCAGCCATCATCTATTTTTTTAGCATTATTTGGAATTTTCATTATTTATTAAACAAACCTGTTCGAAAATCTGACAGTAAAGTAAAAATATCAGGGAACACGGAAGCCACATTGTTTGCTGAGGGTGTAGTCAAATGCGTGGAAAACCTAGGAAAGTCAGTGGGTGTGTGGGAGCTTGCTGTCCTCAGTTCCATTGGTCTGTCATGGGCTGTCTTTCCAAAATTACTTTTTAAAATAACCTTTTCTAGGACCCGTCACATTACCCTAGCAGCTAAAATCCTCGGATTGAACGCGTCCAAATCCCATATGGGTGCTGGTTCTAATCCTGGCAGCCCCACTTCCCATCCAGCTCCTGCTTGTGGCCTGGCAAGGCAGTGGAGGATGGCCCAAAGCCTTGGGACCTTGCACCCACGTGGGAGACCTGGAAGAGGCTCAGGGCTCCTAGCTTCGGATAGGCTTGACTCCAGCCATTTTGGTCACTTGGGGAATGAATCATAGGAAGGAGGATCTTTCTTTGTGTCTCTCCTCTGTATATCTGCTTTCCCAATGAAAATAAATAAATCTTTAAAATAAAATAAAGTAAAATAAAATAATCTTTTCTAACTTTGTGTGTGTAGTTTTCAGGATTTTGATATTCAAGGTTCTAGAAGATGCAGTTTGGATTGGTTGACAATAGAAACGTACAAGAATACGGAAAGTTACAGAGCTTGTGGTTCCACGATTCCACCTCCGTACATCTCTTCCCAAGACCACGTCTGGATCAGGTTCCATTCAGATGACAGCATTTCCAGAAAAGGTTTCAGACTGGCATATTTTTCAGGTGTGTTTTTAACATGATGAAAGATACTGAACTGAATTCTGTGCTATTAACTATTCATTACATCAAGGCTAATCTAAACAACACGTACTTAGCTATGACTGGACCTCCAGGTAGCTGAGACTGAGGACATCAAGTGATTAGAGCTGTATCTTCCAAAAAAAAGATGCTTTGCATAATCCTAATAAAATGACTAGTGTTATTAACTAAAGTCAGTTTTCTTTTTAAGCATGTAGAATACATTTATTTTAAAAATAGCTCCAGTACTTCTCTGTGAACTGAAAGCTATTTCAGAATGTTTGTGTGATTATTCTACTTTCAGTGAAAAACCGTAACACATTTCAGCTTTATAGTCTGTAGTCTCAGAATTTTTTCTTAAATTATGTCCACAAAGAGTGACCAGATCATACAAGCATGAATCGTGTGGGGCATTGGAGCTATGTGTCTTCTTTGCTGAAAATTACTTTTTGTCTTCTGAAATGACATACCTCTATTAGCAAACATGTGCTACTTTTTATCTATCATTAGCCATATGATTGCCAATAAATAAGTTCTTAGTTGAGAAGTTAAGTGCTGGTCCAAAATTGTACATTTGAGGACAGTAGGAATTTAATGTGCTGTGGTTGTGTCTTCTGCTTCATTGTTACAAATTTACAGTGGTACACTAAAATAATCAGACTCTATAGGCAACTGAAACTTGTTTCTCCCCATCTCCTGTTGTTTTGGTGAGCAAACTTGTACCTTTAACTCAGATTCATGCAGTGAATTACAGTTGTATTAAAAGAATAGCAGTTATAAAGTAGAAGTATGTTATTACATGAAACTATACGAAATGTGAACTTACATTGTTAATCTTAGAAAAAGTTTGCATAAATGTTTTTGTGAAGTATACTGTGGTATACATAGGAAAATATTGTGTCATGTGAAGGTGATTCAGAAGGTGTGTAGAGAAATGGAATTGAAAAGTGAGTTTGTTTTGGTACCAAAAAAATTGAAATCCATGCATAATTTTTTCATAATATACTTATTCTGTGAATTTTTTGAAGAACAAACAATCTTCTGTTCCATTTCCACTTTTGAAGTACCTTTATATTAATCGATATAGACAAGAATGAAAAATTTGAGAGAAACAGTTCGAAACAACCATTGTTGTGATGAGCTGTTCTTCATTTTAGAATGCCCATCATTTTGATGAGGTTTATTTAGTACGTTTTTTAAAAGTCTTTATATCCCATTAGCTTTTGTGTCTTACATAATTTTTCCGTATCTCCTGAAACAAAATAGTTCTCTGTTAAAAAAAAAAAAAAGTACAATTGGTCCCTTCTCTCTATAGAGGTCCTCATGGAAAAAAAATGGTAGACATTACTTAATAAATTGAATTTTTGGGTAATTAGCATTACTTATTCTAATTTGTTACTTAAATTTGACCTTTTACAAGGGTTTTTTAAACCTCTGTCACTTGGGCTTAACTAACATTGTCATAAAAATTCCAGTTGCTGTGATACAGCTTTTGAAGAGTGTGGTTTTATCCTCTTTCTCTGTGCTTCCTTCTCTCCACATCCTCCCAGGAAAGTCTGAGGAACCAAACTGTGCTTGTGACCAGTTTCATTGTGGTAACGGAAAGTGTATTCCTGAAGCTTGGAGATGTAATAACATGGACGAGTGTGGAGACAGCTCTGATGAAGAGATCTGTGCCAAAGAGGCGAACCCTCCAACAGCTGCTGCTTTTCAACCCTGCGCTTACAATCAGTTCCAGTGTCTGTCCCGCTTCACCAAAGTTTACACCTGCCTCCCCGAGTCTCTGAAATGTGATGGGAACATTGACTGCCTTGACCTGGGAGACGAGATAGACTGCGATGTGCCAACTTGTGGACAGTGGTTAAAGTATTTTTATGGAACTTTTAATTCTCCTAATTACCCAGACTTTTATCCTCCTGGAAGCAATTGCACCTGGTTAATAGACACTGGTGATCATCGCAAAGTCATTTTACGCTTCACTGACTTTAAACTGGATGGCACTGGTTATGGTGATTACGTCAAGATTTATGATGGGTTAGAGGAGAATCCACACAAGCTTTTGCGTGTACTAACTGCCTTTGATTCTCATGCACCCCTTACAGTTGTTTCTTCTTCTGGACAGATAAGGGTGCATTTTTGTGCTGATAAAGTGAATGCTGCAAGAGGATTTAATGCTACTTATCAAGTAGATGGCTTTTGTTTGCCATGGGAGATACCCTGCGGAGGTAACTGGGGGTGTTACACTGAGCAGCAACGATGTGATGGCTATTGGCATTGCCCAAATGGAAGAGATGAGATCAACTGTACCATGTGCCAGAAAGAAGAATTTCCATGTTCTCGAAATGGAGTCTGTTATCCCCGTTCTGATCGCTGCAACTACCAAAACCATTGTCCAAATGGCTCAGATGAAAAAAACTGCTTTTTTTGCCAGCCAGGAAATTTTCATTGTAAAAACAATCGCTGTGTATTTGAGAGCTGGGTGTGTGATTCTCAGGATGACTGTGGGGATGGCAGCGATGAGGAAAACTGCCCGGTAATTGTGCCAACCAGGGTCATAACCGCAGCCGTCATAGGGAGCCTTATCTGTGGCCTGTTGCTCGTCATTGCTTTGGGATGTACTTGTAAGCTTTATTCTCTGAGAATGTTTGAACGAAGGTCAGTATCAAGGCACAACTGTAGTGATTATGGTGTCAGCAATAAAAACATGCCCCAAACATTTACAGCAAGTACTTTGATTAGTAATATGTTTTGCTTTATACTAGTTTAGAAAGTTAAACAAATATTACTTACACTTCATAAGATTAGTTTGAAAAGGATAAGCAGTAATGAAGCAAAATATTATCTCAGTGAGTTGTAAGTAAAACCAATCTGTATTGGCCAGTATGTTTTTTGGGGGTGGGAGATGGGAGACTATTTTATAGAAATTGAGCAAGCTGGAATTCTCAGTTGTAATTTTAACTTGTCTTTATAAATATTAATTTACTCCCAGATACTTGAGGACCTAGTATGTTCAAAATCCTATATAGGTTAATGGAAGAATGAATAAAGCATAAGTCACAAGCAGTTTACAGATAGGAAGGATCTGGAATGAAATAGGGTAGCAAAAGTGTAGCAGCTGTACAGGCTGTAAACAAGGTGACATGAAAATTAGGATCTGAAAGACAGCTGTGCAGAGAACTTAATTGGAAAAGTACCCTTGAGACGTGTTAATAGAATGTAGGTAGAGAAAAGTACTAAAGTTTCAAAAAAGGAAAAGTAGCCTGGAGAACTATACAGAGTGGGAACACTGAGGAGTGCCTGCAGTGCTCTTGGTCTGGAGCCCAGGATCCCTGTGAAGAATTAATAGGTGATCTGGAGCATGAGGCTGTGTCCTCTTGGTTGGGTTGCAGACTTCAGTGTGATCCAAGTTCCTAAATTCTCCATTCTGTAAGAAACATCCTTACATATCCTTTGTGATATGTAAAGCAGACCTGGGAGAAGGTAAGGGCAGGGAGGTTCCCTGCGAGGCTGCTGTAGAAGTTACCTTCAGTCTCAAGAGTCATAAATGATTTTTAAAAACCTTTACATGCCAGGCAGTTGTCCTAGATGGCACACACACACCCAGCATCACCACAGCTCACTACTGTCCTTTCTCTGCCAAGTATTACGGGCCAGAGAACTTTCCACCACACACTGCAACAAAGGAACACAATAAGGAGTCAGAGGGCTTCAGTTCAGAAACCATCTGTTCCAGAAAGTGCATTAGTGACTCATTTCACTCTTAATGGACAAAAAGCCTTGGGCTTGATGGACAGTGTCTTGTGTGAGCATTCTAATGCTGTCATACTATATCTGGAGGCACTGCTGCCCCTTTTCTTTTGCGTTTAAAGATCTGATATTTTCATTTCTCTTTATAAAAGAGATTTCCAGTTCATTAAAACTTTAATGTAAACTCCTATTCATGTAACTTCCCCCAGCCACCGGGCATACACATCTGTGTGTTCTCATTGAGGCAGAGCAGCTCTTTGTAGTAAATGTTGATTGAGTAATCAAATATGCTGAGGTTTAGATTGCTGTGATTATTGATCATAGAAAATCACAATTTTGACTTCTTTAACCCTTTTCTATCCTCTCGTGAATTCTTAAAGATCATTTGAAACACAGTTGTCAAGAGTGGAAGCAGAATTGTTGAGAAGAGAAGCTCCTCCTTCCTATGGGCAGTTGATTGCTCAGGGTTTAATTCCACCAGTGGAAGATTTTCCTGTTTGTTCACCTAATCAGGTAAATTACAGTTTTAAAGGGAATGTGCACCTCTATGTGGTTAATTCTATTCATCTAGCATCTGCCAGCCCTCGCGCCTAAAGACTGAAGAGAGCACAGTGCCCACAATTGTCCTCACTCTTGACCCTACTTTCAGATTTGGGGAGTTATTCCCCAAATAAATCAAGGAATGAGCTCAAAAAACTCTCTAAAAGTTGTTCACTCGTGGTTACAGTTTATTAGTGGAGCACAGTAAAGAGTAAAATCAGCCAAGGGAAAAGTGTAGGACAGTGTTCAGGAAGGATCTGATCGTTGACTTCTGTTGTTCTTGTCCAAAAGAGTCCGGGAGGCCTTGCTCTGTTGACACAGCTGGGTGGGCATGTGGGGGAATGTTACAAGGCAAGGACACTTGCTCAGGCCCCACGGGTTTTACAGGGGCTCCAACACGGGCATGACTAACTGCACATGCAGCTGCTCTGGGCCTCCAGCTCCTGCAGAGACTGAAAGCATGTGACCCAGAGCCTAACCCTACGTCGCGTACTTGGTGTGGCTCTCATGCTTTCCCATTTCGCAGTGTTGCTGGCTGGCTGGCCCGCCCGAGGTCTACAGGCACACATTCCTGTCAGGGGGTTATTTCAAGGCCCAGATATCACATCCCAGAGGTCAAGGACAAAGACTGTGACCAGAGATCATCTCTCTGCTCCTCACTCTCTCTTTAAGGTTAAAATTTATCCTTATGATAGAATCATGCTTCAATGTTTTAAGAAAATGCATTCATGAATGGTGAACTAGATTTTATTGATTTAAGGTAACATGTCAGATTTCCACAGCTGTTCTTAAGAAGAAAAGGAATCTTGCAATCTGTCATATTTAACATAGAAATGCTTTTTGCTTTATGAGTAAAGAAGCATAAATCATTCCTGAAACAGTGCTGAGATTTCCCCTTAGAGAACTTAATGTTAGACTTTTAAGTAAACACTTTGAAGTTAATAAAGAGCTCCACCTTAGCATGACACTATAGTGGAAGTATTGTTGATCTTGAGGAGTGGCAGCTGCTTAGCATCAAAAGCTGTGTGTGCAAGGCTGGCGCAGTAACACAGTGCTCACACCAGTTTGGACAGCTCCAGGCTGAGTGGGCAGAACACATCTACAGAAAGTCATCATGAAGGGAACCTGTTTCTGCTGTGTGTGTCTTACAGAGAAGGCCCTTACATGTGTGTTGATATTCGTATTTCTTACTGACAGTCTGTGTTACTAGATGGTGTTTCTCTGACAGTAGCTGTTTACTTCTCATGAGTTGTGCTTCGGGCAATTTGCAAAGACCTTTGTGGAAATCAGTAGTACCTGTGATAACAGTCACAGAGATGAAGAGCATACACTGTAGCATCTTGCTTATCCTCTAGCCTTTTTTTCTACGATAAGAAAAGCAAGAGGTGTAAATTTTTTTTGGTAGAAGGAAGCTATAATAATGTTCTGTTAATTCACCATTGCTTCCCAGAAGTAATGTATTCTAAGTATTCAGTGCCAGGTTTCTGAAAGCTGTGTTTGCTTCAAGTTTAGATACTCACTTTCCGACCTAAAGGATGGAGCCTACAAATGAAAAAAGAAGAGGTTCTTCTTTCTATTGTGCATACAAATAGACATTAATTAAAAAGTCACAAGTTTTCCAACAATAATGAGACTTTATCTTCTGCTTAATATCATGGAAAACAAAGCTTAAACATTAAAGATTAAGAAGGAATCCAGATGTCTGTGTATCATTTTTGATTGATGTAAATGAGTCAGTTTAGCTTTATTTTTTTTGTTTTCTGTGCTATATTGCAAGTATATTCATTTCTTTATTTTTGGCTGCAAAGTTGAATCCTTGGTTCCATTCACTAAAAAAAATCACTGAGAGCCAATGTTGGGAAATATAATTTTCACATATTTTGGAAAGTCTCTGCCTTTAAATCATGCTTATTTATTCTGTATTTAAAAATTAAAAATAGGGATAGGATTTGTTACTCACATATGTGGTTGCTTAGTGAATTATAATGGATAATATTTTACCTTCCTAGTTATGAAAGTATCAGATAATTGAGTTTCTAGCTTTGTTGTACCTTTTGGATTGGATCATTATGTAAGGCTTTAAAATAAAGTAACTTGCAGTTGAAGAGAAATAGTATATTTAAGTGGTATATATGAAATTAAACATATTAAGCAGTGTTTCAAGTTACAGATTAAATTCCAAAATGGCTTCAATCTTTATGTTAAAAGAATTTACCTCATCCTCCATAGACACTAGTAGAAATAAATAGGGTTTTTAGTGACAACACATTCCTATTAGAAGAGTGGTTTTATTTTAATATTTTGTTAGAAAAGTTACAATCTTTTCTCATTTTTGTAGGCATCTGTGCTGGAAAATCTGAGGCTTGCCGTACGATCTCAGCTTGGATTTACTTCGATCAGGCTTCCTATGGCAGGCAGGTCCAGCAACATTTGGAATCGGATTTTTAATTTTGCAAGATCTCGTCATTCAGGGTCACTGGCTTTGGTCTCGGCAGATGGAGATGAGGTTGTCACTAGTCAGAGTACCAGCAGAGAAACTGAAAGAAATCACACACACAGAAGTTTGTTTTCTGTGGAGTCTGACGACACCGATGCAGAGAATGAGAGAAGAGATACAGCGGGAGCATCTGGCGGGGTTGCAGCTCCTTTGCCGCAGAAAGTCCCTCCCACAACAGCAGTAGAAGCAACAGTGGGAGCATGTGGAAATTCATCAGCTCAGAGTGCCCGAGGTGGCCATCCAGAAAACGGAAGGGATGTGGCAAGTGTGGAACCACCAAGTGTGAGTCCAGCACGTCACCAGCTTAGCAGTGCGCTAAGTCGTGTGACTCAGGGCCTGCGTTGGGTACGATTTACATTAGGGCGATCAAGTTCCATTAATCAAAACCAGAGTCCTTTGAGACAACTTGATAATGGGGTCAATGGAAGAGAAGAAGATGATGATGTTGAGATGCTGATTCCCGTTTCTGATGGAGCTTCAGACATTGATGGGAATGACTGCTCCAGACCTCTTCTTGATCTTGCCTCAGATCAAGGACCAGGGCTTAGACAACCATATAGTGCAACAAACCCTGGTAGTGTGAGGCCCAGCAGTCGAGACGGCCCCTGTGAGCGCTGTGGAATTGTCCACACTGCCCAGATTCCAGACACTTGCTTAGAAGCAACACTGAAAAATGAAACGAGTGATGACGAGGCTTTGTTACTTTGTTAGGTACGAATCACATAAGGGAGATTGTATTCAAGTTGGAGCAATATCCATTCATTATTTTGTAACTTTACAGTTGTACTAGTTTTAGTTTAAAAAGAAAAAACAAATGCAGGGTGATTTCTTATTTATATGTTAGCCTGCATGGTTAAATTAAACAACTCATAACTCAGAGTTTAGAGTTTCCTGTTTTTAGCAGCTACAAATATATTATGTATTCATTTTGTTCCATAATATTCTTCCAGTGGCTTTCCATTGTTTTTATCCTGGTACTGTAGTTCACTGTAAAAATGTGGCTGCTAACCTCATTTATTTGACTGTTGTTTTGTCTTCATGTGTTAGAAAGTTTGTACAAAATAATGTCTTCTTTTAATTGAACGTTTTATGCTTTTGCCAACACATAACTTATGCTACATATAAAGGTTGTTAGTGTGCAAAAAAAGCAAACCCTTATACTCACCTATGTTTTTATTTCAAACATTTGTCTGTTACTGGATTTCACCATAATATGAGCTTTTCAACAGGAAAAAAAATTTGTCTCTTATGTTTGGAGACAAATGTCTCCAAATTTGTCTCTTATGTTTAACATGCAGTGATGTGAAATTTAGGTGAAGCTAGATAAATTACTGCAAAAACAAAGCTCTTTTATAGATTTTCTAATGTTGACTTTAATACTAAAACATGGTACAAACCAAATGGTAAAATTCTAACTCATTTTTTTTTCATCTGTGTTTAAAGACAGGATTGAGAGAATGAAGATATTCTACTATGCATTAAATCTTGAACTTTATAAAATATGTACAAAAATTGTACATGATAAGTTCCAGCTGGCAATGTCTTTCCCTAATGTAGGGTTATGCTTGTATTGGACCCTAGGGATTTGCACTAAAACCATATCAAGGTCTCAGATGAGTTTAGTGCACAAGCACTATCACTTTAAATATTATTATTTGCTACCACAGTGACTATATATTTCCATAGCTTTGGGAGGGAGCATTTTTATTACAACTTGAAATTGCTTTGCTGGTTTCATATTTATTTGTTGTATTTAAAAACTGCATTGTTGTAAGAATGATTGTTTTCCAGTTTATTTTATTCATTGGGGGGATAAAGCTACAGTGTTGAAGAAGAGCAGATGGAGACATTGTTTAGATCGCCCCCCCTTTTTTTCGTAGTGACTTACAAAATTCTGTATATTTTTTTATTGTCAGTTCCTGTTTTATTTATTCTTTAGTTGTCTTTCAGTAGCTTAATAATTGAGTATGAAAAATGTATTTGTATGTGATTATTGCTATTTATTAAATTTTAAGTACTTTGCTGAATGTCATTTTAAAGCATGTTTGAGGTCTTGTGTATTTGTCGTGTTATGCTGTCAGGAAGAACTGACTAAAATGTTTTAATATGTATCAAAAATTAAAATAATTTTTTATTGCCTTGAGCTACTTTTTAAATCAAAGTTGTTCTTTATTTTTATTGAGCTTTGGAGCATACACAGATTCAGTATGTATACCAAAAAGAACTGTGAGGAGAGATTCTTCTTCAGCTGCTTACCTGCTGTAAAGCACTAGCGTACACAGTATTTCAGGACAAAATTCCTTAGGAGTCCAAAAATCATTTGGCCTTGAATTAAACCTTTTTAAAAATGTTTTTACATACCTATTTTCCAGCCTTTAGGTTTTTTTACATTTTTTTTTAATTTTCTTTTTAATACTGTCGATATAACTGAGAGGGATTTACATACTCATACGGGTCTCCAGCTCAATTGGAGAGAGTCAGATATGGAAGAAGATTGGTGGGAGAAATGTTTCAGTTTTTTCTTTTTCTTTCTTCTTGCTATCAAACTGCAGCAGCACCAGGTGCTGGGGACCGTCCTCTGATCTTATCTTGGTGGTCCTGATGTGAGGAAGCTTATTCCGAGGGTGTTGTTATTTGAGTGGTTTTCATAGCTCCCAGATAGTGGTGTGGTGGCTTTGTCACACCAGGGTGGAGAAATTTTTCTGGAGTGTCTTGGTTGAAAAAGTACACCTTAATGCATCTGCAGTCATTTATTTTTAAATGTAATCCATCATTCTTGTTAAACAGTCCCTGTCTTGCTCCTGCCACCACCTCTTGAGTTCCCTTTCAAAGAGTCACATACAGTACCAGATTCCTGTATCTCTTCAGAAGTGTCATCAGCCAGGGTGTAAATGTACCCATATGTATATAAATGCCATCTATGGCAAGGCAACCGATACTGTGCATTCATGTTCTATCCCTTTTCTCAGGGGAAAAGATGCTTCATTACAGTGTGAATATTAAAAAGCAAAGCTGAATGTGTCCATTTGATTTTACATTAATATGACTAATATTCTCTATAACGCCTTACTAATTTTCCAGACACCTAGTGTTCTCAAAACTATTCGTCAAATAATACTTTTTCACATGCAACTGTTTCCATATGATATATATCCATAATGTTTGGGTGTGTTTCTAGACTGCTTTGTTCTCTTCAATGAATTTTTCTCCTTGTTTTCCAGTCCTATACTTCTTAACGACTTACTTATTTACTTGAAAGAGCTGCAGGAGAGGGGGGGAGAGAGAGATCATCCACGGTTCATTCTCTAGTGGCTGCAATAGGGCATTGAGCCAGACCAAAACCAGGGTCTTCTGATCTCCCATATGGGTGCAGAGGCTTAAACACTTCAACCTCCATTCACTGCTTTCTGTGCATGTTAGCAGGGAGCTGGATGAGAAGTGGAGCTTCTGGGGCTTAAACCACATGCATGCCACTTCCTTGACGGTGACTTCAGTTGCTACATATCACTGGCCCATTGTTTCACACCTTTTGTTTTTTCAAAGATTTGTTTATTTTTATTGGAAAGATGGATTTCAGAGAGAAAGATCTTTCTTGTGCTGGTTCACTCCTCAAGTGGCCACAACGGCTGGAGCTGAACCAATCCCCAAAGCCAGGAGCTTCTTCCCATGGAGGTGCAAGATCCCAAGGCTTTGGGCCATCTCTCCTGCTTTCCCAGAACACAAGGGGGAGCAGTTGGGACATGAACCAGCCATATGAGATCCTGAGCACACAAAGGGAGGATTTAGCCACTAGGCTATAATATAGCACCCAGACCAGTTCTATACTTCGTGTTTGTTTGGTTTGTTTTGTTTGGGTTTTTTTTTTCTTTTTTTTTTTGTTTGTTTGTTTAGATTTTATGAAAACCAGGGCTTTATTTTATAAACCAAAAGCCATACATGGCACCCAACCTGAAATTTTTCAATCTTTATCACTCTAGGAGAGACCCAGTAATACCTTTCATGACCTTCTAAAGACCGTTGAGCTGGAATATTCTACCCTTTCTCATACAGATAAAGATATTCTGTGCACCAAGAAAATGAGAAGGCATTGTGAAGATTAGTTAGCCATTAGCCATGAAGTTAGCCGTGAAATCGAAGCAGGGAAAATACATAAAGCTAGTTTACTGAAAATTTTACTATAATTTTTGCTTCCTATATAAAATGAATGTTATCTGTTCTATACTTCGTAGTGACTACTTTTAATTGTATTTCAAACATTTTTGCTTATTTTTCTGTTTGAACTCCAGAATCAATTTGTTAATTTTCATGAAACAAATTGATTCTTTACTTTGGCCAGTTTAAGCTTTATAAGTTAACTTGGAGCAATGTAATCCCATCATTGGAGTGAAGGCTTTTATGCACGTAAACAATGATGCTCTTAAGAATAGTTCCTGTTTAAGCCATTTTTATTGTTTCCTTCAGAGGTATTTGACGTAACAGAAATCTCATTTTAAATAGCTTTTTCTCAACAAATTTAATTCTTTTGACCATTATCATGAAGTCCTTTCTGTTAGTAATGTAGCCTGACTTCACTGTCTAAAAAGCCAACAGCATATTTATATTAGTTTTCTACCCAGCCACCCAACTCCATTTTCTTCTTTAATGGGTGAGGCAGGTTATAAGGAATGAAAGCCAAATGATTACAGTGAGTTCACTCAGTATTCAGTACCTGCTGCAGACAGACCATAAGTGTTAACTGTAGTTTAACTTCTGCTGGCCTCCCTTCAGTCTGCTCCATCCTTCTCGAAAGATCCTCTCTGAGAACATCAGAACTATTCAGGAATAGCTGGCAAATTGCATATTGTTAAGTCACAGGGTGAAAGGCGGCTGATTTCATTTTTGGTACAATGTTCAACATTTCAGATGACAGTTGTTTAATCAGAAATTTACTAGCTTCAAAGAAATCTGTCATATGCCCATACATACTATATATATAAATATACATATATATATATACACACGTAAGATGTGTGTGCACATTTAGAATGCCACTGTGTGACATTACAAGGTTTTCTTCAAAAAGGACATTGTGACATTTTTTGGCACACACCTGTCCATGAGTAAGTACCCCATGTGCATACCAGCAAAGACCATTTCTACAAATATTTTCTGCTAGTTGCTCTTTCATTATAGTGAACAGTTTCTTGAGAGAATTAAAATATATATATTGATGTTGAGAGACAGAGGCAGGTCTTGAATTGATTCACTGGCCTACACAGCTTGTGCTGGGTTGGGCCAGGCCAATGCCGGGAACCCAGAACTCAACCCAGGCTTCCTGTGTGGATGGCAGGAACCAAACTACTTGAGGCAGTATCTGCTACCCCTAGGGCACACATTAGTAGGAAATATATTTGAAGCAAAGCCAGTACTTAAACACAAGCACTCCAATATGGATTGTAGATATCTTAACCACTATGCCAAGTGCCACCAACAAATGATAATTTACCTATTGCTGAACTGCCTCCCATCTGCCAAGTCCTTCATACCTAACTGAAATCTTCATGGTCTTGTGAAATAAATATCTAACAGCATATGACCAAAAAGGGCAGATTTTTAACTTTGGTCATAGCCAGGTCTGCTGGAAATAAGATAGATCATGAAGTAATGCCTATCAAACAAGAGAAATAAATTTGCCTTAAAGCGGGAATTGACGGATGGGATAGTAAGCACACTCCCTTAGCTTCATCTTTAACGCCTTATGAGATTAAAATAAGGGGTCTAGATACTCTTTGTCAGGGCCTTAGGACATGAGTTGATCATCTCTTGTCGCAAAGCAGCACCCAAGTTTTATACTGAAAGTAACCACTATTGATGGAGTTTGCCCACAGGTAAGTTATGAGGGGAAACCTCTGTGGATTCAACTTCCAGCTCCTGTTGTCCTTTGGGTTTGAAAGATGCCTTCCCAAAAGAGCCCACCCCTGTTGCTGGCTTGTTGGTGCTGAGTGGTGGCTGGCACTCTAGTCCAGGAGCCTCAGCATCTGTCCACAGGGACCTTTGCACACAAATGGCAGCGTGGGTCCTCACAGCATGAAGGCTGGATCCAACAGTGAGTGATGTATTAGTTCAGCAGAAGCTGCAAGACCAGGTGCAACCAAGTCTTGGAAGTCCAGAATATCACTTCTTAGCATCACGAAGGCCAACCCATGCTGTAGGCTGCTCTCTTGTTTAGAGAATAGCAAAGAATTTGTGACACTGTTAACATACCATAGCATGGTATTATAAATAAAAAAAACCAGCAAACTGCCATTATCATTTCAAATTTAATCTTTTACTTTCCAAGTTAAGGTATTAGCTTGAAAGCTAATCATATTAATTCCATTCCTCCTTCCTAAGTCAAGTATGTTATTTTTTAATATATTTATTCATTACAAATACAAAGGTAAACCAATTAGCATA